TTTATTTCTCGAGGATATATACCAAATAGAGGGCTTATCTTCAAGCCTTTAAGACCCCAGATGCTATATCTTTTGATAGCTGGGCACCAACAACTTTCTTCTCCATATTTCCTTATGCACCCATTTGTCTTCAGTAATCGTATCAGGGAGGTGAGCACACAATGATATGATTTTTTTGTTCTTTGGTGCCTGATAACTGATTCCTTTGGCACCTCGTGATCACGCAGAGCCTGTGGTTCTATGTATGTTCCCAACCTATCCCTATTTATAAAGTTTGTTTTTCCTAACTAGGCGAAGTAATCTATCACTAACACTAATAATATGATCAATTTGAGATAAAGTTTCCATAGAAATTAAACATGCATTATTAAACATGATTTTGCTACCAACTTATTACTGTTTTATGAGGATATACCTCAATAATGTTATTGTGCCTCTTTAAAAAATCATTTTATTGGGGGCTCTTACAGCACTTATAGCATTCCATATCGTTCCTCTTATAGAACTATTGTTTGGCTGAAAATTGAGTCGTAGAAATGAGCTCAGATCCAGACTTGAGTGTGAGAAAGTACTTCCTATATATAGTCTCAAAGGTTCCATCAGAAGAAAGAGTTGATTTAGAAATGTGGTATAATTGGAAATACTTTTTTTATGAGCTGGGAGAAAATATTGGGAGTTTTAAGGAGAAAAAACCCCTTTAATGTATAGATTGGAGAAAAGAACAAATCTTATTTATTTGTAACTTTGAATTTTGAATCGTGTGAAGGTTTACAGAACAGATCAGTTTTCCTTTCAACAATTGATACACATTTTGTTTCATGGCATCGATTGTAGTCCCATAATGTAACACCATGTATCCTACTTTTTCCCTGTGTTTCTGTTCTTCTTTCTTTCTTAAACCTTCTGAACTTTGTTCTTGGGAAGTGCTTTCCTTTAGATCTCAAATAGTTGATTATTCTAAGGTGGACATACCTCAATAGTGTGATTGTTCCTCATTCAGCCCATCTATTGTTTGACTGGAAATTGAACCATTGATGTAAGTTTAGATCCAGACGTGGAAGTATGAGAAAGGGCTGTAGTCTCAAAGGTCCCAGTTGTTTCTTAATGGACCAGTAAGCTTGTTCTTTTTTCCAATTTTGAGTTTTGTTCCATGTTTTTTTTCCCACTAGGACTTTCTTTTGAAATTTATTACAGACATCTTTAGTAGTGGTTGCTGGACAGGATCTAGTCCTTCTGGTCTTGGGGATGTAGAAACTGATGTTTGAGTGGTTCATTAGCCATGGACTAAATGGTTTCAGTTGTCTTCATTCTTCTTTCTCAAGGTAGGGAGAGACCAAGAGTTGTACTGTAGATAGCTGCTCATGAGCTAAGACCCCAATTACTACTTGTCAAAGAGAATGCTTTGTAAACTATGTTATGCCAATTGATCTTAGTGGCCCCCAAGATTATGATCCCGAGACCCCAGGCCCAGTGACTCATTTTCTCAAGGTGTTTGGTTATTGCTAAGAAATTTGATAACTTTGTCCCCTGGGTGCTCTAGCACATTCATAGACATATTTGTCGTAAAGGTAAATACACATGTAAAAATATCCTCTGCTAAACCTACCGCATATACTTGCGTATAAGCCAAGTTTTTCAGCACATTAAAAAATTTTTATAAATTATTTTATTGGGGGCTCGTACAACTCATATCACAATCCATACAGCCGTCCATTGTGTGAAGCACATTTGTACATATGTTGCCATCATCACTTACAAAGCATTTTCTTTCTACTTGAACCCTTGGTATCAGCTCCTGATTTTTTCCCCTCCCTCCCTCATGAACCCTTGATAATTTATAAATTATTATTATTTTTCATGTCTTTCACTGTCTGATGTCTCCCTTTACTCCCTTGTCTGTTGTCCATCCCTCTGGGAGGGGGTTATAGGTAGGTCATTGTGATTAGTTTCCCCTCTCTCTCCCCACTTTCTCCTTCCCCTCCAGGTATGGCTGCTCTCAATATTGGTCCCAAGGAGTTTATCTGTCCTGTATTTCCTGTGTTTCCAGCTCTTATCTGTACCCATCCATGGACATGCTGTGGTCTAGCCAGATTTGTAAGGTAGAATTAGGGTCATGATAGTGGGGGGGAGGAAGCATTAAAGAGCCAGAGGAAAACTGTATGTTTCATCAGTGCTATATTGCATCCTAACTGGCCCGTCTTCTCCCCACGACCCTTCTGTAAGGGGATGTCCAATTGCCTATAGATTGGCTTTGGGGTTCTACTCCACATACTCCCCTCCCCATACCCCCCATTCACATGGTGCTTTTTTGCTCTGGGTCTTTGATGCTTGATACCTGATCCCATCAACACCTCATGATCACACAGGCTAGTGTGCTTCTTCCATGTGGGGTTTGTTGCTTCTCAGCAGGATGGCTGCTTGTTTATCATCAAGCCTTTAAGACCCCTGACACTATATCTTTTGATAGCCGGGCACCATCAGCTTCCTTCATGACATTTGCTTATACATTGCTTTATCTTCAGTGATTGTCAGCACATTTTTTATTCCAGTTTTTGTGCTTAAATTAGGTACCTTGGCTGATAATCAGGTTGGCTTATTCCTGAGTATATGTGGTATATATATATATATTTTGGGTATATTCCCATTCTCCCTCCCACATCAGTTCAGTTTGGGTGTCTATGTATCTACTTATAGTTCACCGTTATTACAGGATTGTATATATAACAGTATTTATCTCTTTTACCTTTCCCTCTTGCATTTCTCTTTATTCCTTCCCCACCTCATTCTTTTTTACAGACCCCCTTATTTTTATCTATTGCCTTTCCCATGCACCCAACTTGAGGAGTCCTGGTGGCATAGTGATTATGCATTGGGCTGTGATCTGTAAGGTCAGCAGTTTGAAATTACCAGCCACTCCATAGGAGAACGATAGGGCTTTCTATTCATATAAATAGTTACAGTCTCAAAAACTCACAAGGACAATTCTACTCTGTACTGTGGGGTTGCTGTGATCAGAATCGACTTGATGGCAGTGAGTTTTGGTTTTTTAAATACTCCATTGTGTGTATGTACCATAGCTTGTTCATCTAC